GCTGCCAGCACAGCCCCGGTGCTGCACCGGGGGGAGGGCAGAGCCGCTGCTGTGCAGTCAGGGGGGTTCTGGGTGTGCTGGGGGCCAGGGGTGCATCAGCTGCCCCCCAGCTCGGGGTGTTGCTCTCCAGCACACTGCAACCCACGTGCGTGGAAGGAAATGTGAGGGGATGTGATGTCTGGGGACAGCTGGCATGGGATGGGATGGGCAGGGCGGCAGTGGGCACCAGGACGGGTGGGTGATGCTGTGCCTGTGGTGGTCAATCATTAAAGTCTACCTCGATGCCAGCAGAGAGGTGGGGGTGCTGGGCAAGGCCTGACCCTGGGGAATGGGGACTCTGTGCCCACTGTGACCCAGGGACAGCCTGGCTCAGTGAAGCCAGTGTGGGTTCATGGGGTGCCCGTACTGCCCGTGCTGCCTGGGCACTCTGCCCCCATGGCTGGGCTGGGTGATGCCTCCATGTGCCGCAGTGCTGCTGCTCAGCAGAGCTGGGACGTGTCCCAAGGTGCCTCAGCTCCACACCCGGCCCCAGGCCAGCTGCCTTCGACCACCCAGTTTCTTCCCCTTTTGAAGTTCCTATTAAATTTTAATCCTTTTATATAACTGCTGAAGGAGGGGGCAGAGCCCTGCTCCCCGCCTGCAGCAGGAGCAGCCGTGTCGGCAATGCAGGATGCTGCAGGGCCTGGTGGGCTTGGGACTGGAGATCCCTTCCTGGGGGCACCAGGACTTTTGGGGGGCTCTCTGCACACCAGGAGTGGGGACAGCCCCAGCTCCAGCTCTGGCTCTGCCAGGGTGCCCTGTTCAGTGGGAAAACCTTGGTACTTGAATCACAGCACTGGGACATGGACAGCACTGATAGAAAACACACGTAGGGCACTTGTTTGGGTCACGTCCCCCCACGCACAGGGCAGGGCCTGGTGAGGTGTTCTGGACTCAGCTTGGCACCAGGATGGAGCTTGTGCCACCACGCTGCTCCCGCCACCGTGCAGGGCGTTACCCAGGTTATTGTTCCTGCACTTCCAGCCCGCGCTCGCTGTAATTATTATTATTATAATTATGATCAAATTACAGGGTGTGGTGTGAGTGGCTCAGCGGGCAGGCAGCAGCGGGGTGGCCCTGGGTCTGCTGGGGGAAGGCTGGGCCTCGGGGGCTGCACCCTGCCCGGGGCTGTCCCTGCACCCTTCCTGGGGCTGTCCTGGCACTCCGGGCCTGTTCTGTCACTCAGGGACTACCCCAAGGCTGTCTCAGTACCCCAGGGCTGTCCCTGCTCTCTGTCCCCTCCCTGGCAGGCTGTGTGCCCGTGGACAGGCGTGGGTGACAGTCCCGGGGTGCCCTCAGCTCGCTGGGGTGATCCAGGGGATGCCCACGGGTGGGTACCCCTTGTCTCGGTGCCAGTCTGGTTCCACAGGGCACCTCAGGGGATGCCCACGGGTGGGTACCCCTTGTCTCAGTGCCAGTCTGGCTCTGCAGGAATGCCCACGGGTGGGTACCCCTGATCTCGGTGCCAGTCCGGTTCCACAGGGCACCTCAGGGGATGCCCACGGGTGGGTACCCCTTGTCTCAGTGCCAGTCTGGCTCTGCAGGAATGCCCACGGGTGGGTACCACTCATCTCGCCCCCACAGCATCTCCCGGGCCCCACGTGCCGCTGCCCCCGCTCTCCCCGCCCGGGGGTCCCGGGGCGCCGGGAGGCGGCGGCAGAGCCGCACCGGAGCCATTTTGCGCCGCCGCCGCCCGCTCTGGCTCCCGGGGAAAATCCACCGCCGTGTCTTGGCGGCGCCGCGGCGGCCCCGCTCCGCTCCCGCCGCTCCGCGCCCGCCCGCGCTGCACTGCGGGGCCGCCGCCACTCGCATGCTGCCGCCCGCCGCGCTCCCACGCGCGGGGCGCCGGCCCGGGCCGAGCCGGGACCAGCCGAGCCCAACCGAGCCGCGCCGGGAGCAGCCGGGCCGGGGGCGGCCGAGCCGGGCCGTCGGGGAACCGCCCGGGAGCCGCCGGAGGATGTAGGAGGCGGCAGCGGGGTAAGAGCGGCGGGGGCGGCCCCGGGGGTGCCCAGCGCAGAGCGGGGGTCGGTGCCCGGGCTCGGCCGTGCCCAGCGCGGGGGGGTGCGGGAAGGGATCCCGGGGGTGCTCGGTGCGGAGGGGGGGCTCTCACCAACGAGGCACCGGAGCCGTGCGGAACCGGCCCCGCGGGAACGGGACGTGGCACCTGCGGACCCATCCGGCATCACCGAGCGGTGTCCGGGGGTGAACCGGGGAGGAAGGAGCCGGGGGATGGCCGGGGGCGTCTCAGCGGTGCCGTGGCGCTCGGCTCCGCCAGGATTCCCCGGTGGGTGGGGGAGAGGGGGTCCCCATCTCCCAGCGGGCATCCCCACCTCCGGCTGCCCGAGGCGCTGGGGAGAGCGGCGCAGCCCGCAGCCCCTCCAGCCTCCCCTGGATGGCGGCGCCAGCCATCCTGTGTTCTCCCGCTGCTGCGGAGGGCTCGGGGCAGGCCCAGGACCCCTCCTCATCCAGAGGCTCCCCCTCCCCATCCTGCCGAGGGGGTGGTGAGCACAGTGCCCGGCTGAGTGCTGAGCTGTGCCGATCACCGTGCAGCCATGGTCCCAGCCAGCCTGACAGGCAAGCAGAGCTTCGGGGGCCACTGTCTGGCTGCTCCCTCTTGCTGCTGCCTTCCTTCCCCCAGACTGTTGGGGTCTCTTGGAGGAGTCGGTCTGGTCCCTCCATCCTGTGCCAAACCTGCAGAGCAAGTTGGTGCTGGGACCGCTGGTGTGTCTCCATCCTGTGACATCCAGCCCCTCATGTCACCTCCCTTGCTTACAGCCGATCCCTGCCTGTCCCCTGGGCAGGAAGAGGGGACAGAGCCCGGCTGGTGGGGCTTGTTATCCCTGTGGGAATCCAGGCAGCCTTGCTTGGTGTAAATGGGAGCAGGATCCGGTCAGCAGTGCAGATTCTCCTTTAGGAAATGGATGGAATTTTTGGTCTTTCTCAGTTTCTCACCCCCATGCTCCTCTGTTCCCCCCCGAATGCATCCATGGCTCGCAGCCCTTGAGGACTCTGTGTGTGCAGGGATGGAGCAGGGGAAGGCCACTGGGAGCTGGGCATGGCTGCAAGGAGCATGTCAGCCCTTTCAAGCATTAGTACAGCGCCGGCAGGGCTGGGAATGCAAAAATAGCCATCAAAGTGACCGTGGAACATCTGAGCCTGGAGGGGCCCCTTTTGGCTGTGGCAGTGTGGGAGCACTGACGTGGGGAGATGTTGGTGTGAGCCAGCTTTGGGGCTGCCCTGGGTGTTGTCACCCCACTGAGCACCAGGACCACCTCCAGCCATCCCTGCTGTGGTGAACAGGGTGACAAAACCGTGGTGTCCCCCTCCAAGCCTGGCTGAGGTGGTGCTGAGCTTGGTGCCCAAATCTCCCTCCTGAGTGCCAAGGCTTGTGCCACGTGGGCTTGGAGGAGCAGCCCCCAGTCCCTTCAATCCTCCTGCTGGGCCTGGCTCCCACCCAGCAGCTTGGGCAAGGCACGGGATGAGTGAAGGGTGTTGGGAAGCCCAGGCTGGGGGTGTTTGGGGAGCCCCTCCTTCAGCCTCCCCATCAGCAGCTCAGAGGCAGAGCAGTGCCAGGAGCTGTGGGATGCAGAGCCTGTGTGGGTGGCTGGTGGCTGAGCTGGTGTGGGTCTCCCCAGCTCTGCCCACGCTCAGGGGCAGGATCAGGGCCCGTGCTGGGGTCTCATGGCCAGGTGGAGCTGCTGCGGTGGGGGCTGGGGCTCCAGATCCAGGTTTTGCAGACGCTCGCATCTCTCCGGCAAGCTGAGCAGAAACCCTGGATCCCACCCAGCCAGAAATTTGGATCTGGAGCCAAAGGTGACTCTTGGCCCTTATTGCCAACACGGGCGAAGCTAAAATCTGGATCTGAGCAGAAACAGGAGGAGCCTGGATCCAGCGCAGGGGCTGAACGTGTGGCTTGTGCTCCTTCTGGCCATCACATTGGATTTCCTGAAATAGCCTGTTGAAGACCAGAGCCCAGCAGGGACCGAATGACAGGTCACCAGGGGTGTGGAAGCCCCATCACGATCCTGGCTGCCTGCTTCAAGACGTTGGCAGCCAGCAATAATAGTAATATACGGTGCCATTGCCGGGAGAGCGCAGCGCTGCTGGAGAGCTAAGAATAGCAGGCGAGACGTGCCAGCAGAGGGGGACTCTGGGCCGGGAGGGGGCCGGGGCTGCGGCTGGACGTGCCCTGGGGGACACCCCGGCCGTGGGGTGGCAGCTCCTCCCAGCGGGAGGACATCCCTGTGATGCAGGTGGCACAAGGCAAGGGGATGTGGAGAGTGCTTGGTGCTGCAGACTCTGGGTATTGCCCCTTCAGCCTGGCCTTTGAGCTTTGCCATCCCCAAGAACCAGGTGTAGAGCTTGCTCTGATAAAGTGGCATTCAGATCTTGGCCATCTCAATGGTCCTGTGATGCTTGGTCCCTCTATGAGCAGCAGCACGGGGTGGGAGCCACGTGGAAATCCATGGACAGGGCAGCAGCTCAGCACCCCACACTCACCTGCCCCAAACCAAGCAGGATTGAGCCCATTCTGCCCTGTCCTGCCCAGCAGTTCATTCCCAGGGCTGCACAGTGTCACTGGCAGGGGACAGAGAGGGCCAGGCCACCACAGGTCCAAAAGCTGAGCTCTGTCAGCCGCCACAGCACGTGGCAGTGGAGCAAGTACCCATGGGGTTGAGGAGAATTAATTTCTGCAGGGCCAGGGGTGCTGCAGCACCCCCTGTCCCCCTCCCACAGGCAGCTGTGCTCCTGCAGTGCCTGTGTCAGTGCCTCTGCAACCTGCCCTCAATCTTAATTAGATTTTCCACGTCGCCCCCCAGCTCACTCCTCCCCAAAATGCTGGAGCAGGAAGAAGAAGCCATGACATGGTTTCTAATCAGCTTCTGAATTCAGATTCCTCTCGGCTGGTGTTGGAGGCTCCTCTCAGCCTTTGCTTGGTGCTGCCTGAGCAGGGTCTGGGAGCCCTGCGAACGGTGGCTCAGCAGCTGGGACACCCTTGGACACACGCACATGTTTGGTGACAGCAACTTGAGGAACACCTGCCAACCCCATCAGAGAGGCATCCAGCGGGCACTGTGGCTCTGCCCAGCACTGGGCACCACTGCTGTGCTTTCCTGGGGTTCATTGTGCATCACTCCAGTGTGGGAGCTGGGCACGGTGCCCCACGGCTCGTCCCAGTGTGGCTCCTCTGCAGCCAGTGCCGTGCCAGGTTTGGCTCTGCCTCCAGCACCCAGACCCTGTCAGCAGCGAGTTGTGGCTCTGAGCAAAGCCAGGGGATGCAAACAATTCCCAGAGCTGCCATGCCCCAATTAATAGCCTGTGAATCACGGTGCTGTTGGAAGAGCAGATGTTTGTGGCGTGGCTGCCAGAGCTCAGTGTTTCACCAGGAGCCTGCTTGGCCCTAAATTGGCAGCTCTGGGCAGCAGGTGGTGACGGGGCCTCGCTGCCTGCCTGGCCCTCTCCTGCAGGAGGATCAGGAGATGTTTGGGCTGGGAATCAGCTGAAGTTTTCGGTGGGCAGAGGGAAGGGGGAGAACAGCCTGTGTGTGGGCATGAGGGGTGCTGTGTTGGAGTGAGAGGACTACAAAAGCTGAAGGTATCGAGTCCTGTCACAACAGGACCTGCTGATTTCCCATTCCTGGGGAACCTCTCATCTTCCCAAAGGGATGCAGGTGCTGTGGTGGCACAGTGGGTGCTGGGGCACTTGTTTGGGGATGGTGAATGGTTGGTACTGGGGAAACACTGAATGCCTTGGAAGTGGCTGTCCCTGCTGTGGTTGGTGTCCCCAGACATGGGGCTGGGGTGAGACCCCATTGATGCGCCCCAGGTCGGTGCCATCCGTGCAGCTGAGCTGAGGGATGGCCTCAGCTCTCATTTTTTGTGTCATGACACCCACCTGCCCCAGGCTCCCCTGGGCCCTCTCTGGGTGGGGGTACACTGGGGACAGCCCCATGGTGGGGGAACTACATGGTTCCCCTGCAGCCGGGATGTGTGGGGAGCGAGGGCAGCACTCGGGTGCCTGTGGGTGCACAGCAGTGTGTGGGGTGGGGCACGTGGGATTCTGTGAGTGGGAGCAGCCGGGTGCACGTGGCCATGTGCAGTGATACAGAGCTGCTGAGTGTCCATCTGTGTGTGTGGGGTCCTGTCCGTCCATCCATCCGTCCATCCATCCATCCATCCATCCATCCATCCAGCCAGCCATCCATGCATCCATTCATCCATCAGTGTGTGGGTCTGTGTGTCCATCTGTGTGTGCAGGGCCCTGTGTCTGTCCATCCATCAGTCTGTGTGTCCATCTGGCTGTGCCGGGTGTCCGTCCATCCGCCGGCCTGTGGGGCTGTGTGTCCGTCTGTCTGTGCAGGGCTGTGTGTCCATCTGTCCGAGTGGAGCTGTGTGTCCATCTGTCCAAGCAGGGCTGTGTGTCTATCTGTCCGAGCAGGGCTGTGTGTCTATCTGTCCGTGCGGGGCTGTGTGTCGGTCTGTCCGTGCAGGGCTGTGTGTCCATCAGTCTGTGCAGGGCCGTGTGTCGGTCTGGTGGTGCGGGGCTGTGTGTCGGTCTGTCCGTGCGGGGCTGTGTGTCGGTCTGGCTGTGTGTCGGTCTGTCCGTGCGGGGCCGTGCGTGGGCGCGCGGCGCTGCGGGCGTGGGCAGCCCCTTGCCGGGGGTGCTGTCGGTGCGCGGGGGTGGCCGAGCGCGCCGGGGAGCGCGCGTGGGTGTGTCCCCAGCGCGCGGGGGCGACGGCTCCGCCACCGCCTCTCTCCGGCTGCGAGGTGCCGGTGCCGGTGTCGGCACCCGGAGCGTGCCCGCCGCCGCCGCCGCTGCCGGGGGTGGCCGTGACCCCGGGGACGCCTCCGGCCTCGCTGCGCGGCCTGGCCGCGGCATGGGCGGCCCGCGGGGAATTTGCAGGATCGCAGGGAATCCATCGTCCGGCTCCTGCCCAGCCCAGGCCGGCAACTTCATGGCTTAGCAGCGGCGGAGGG